ATTTCATGTCCTACTACTTGTTTTTCAACAAAGACCACTGTATCTGCTTTCTGCTCTGATTCTCCGGTACCACCTGGATGTCTCCAGCAATTCCGTCGTCCTAACGCTAACTGTGTGGAGTTAGCGCAGACCTTGCAGGTGAAGGGCCCAGTGCCACAGGACTGTCCTCACTTCAGATGCCAGTCACCAGTCCCAGGTTGTCACCAGGACTTCTAACAGACAAGCTGTACATTCTGGGGTCCCCACAACTTCCTCCTCAGGTTTGATAATTTGTCGAACAACTCTTAGAACTCAGGAAAATGCCTTACTTACTATTGCCAGTTTATTTTTAGGATACAGCTCAGGAAGAGCCAAATGAAAGCAAGGTATTGGGGTGCGTGGCACAGAGCTCCCTGGCCCGCTCTGGGAACACCGCCTTCCCAGCCTCTGGGTGGCCACCCGCCTGGCAGCTCTCCTGATCTCTTTGTCAAGAGCTGTTATCACCCAGTCTCCAGCCCCCCTACCCTCCTCTGAGGTCCAGGGATGAAGCTGAAAGTTCCCACCTTCTAGTCATTTGGTCTCGCTCCCTCTAAGTGTTTGGTCCTTCTGGGAACCAGCCCCATCCTGAAGCCATCTAGAGGTTCCCCTCCCTGAATCAAAAGACACTTCTGCCACTCAGGAAATTCCAAGGCTTTTAGGAGCTCTGTGCCGGGGACTCAGGACAAAGACCCAGTACGTATTTTTCATTGTGCCACCTTAGTAATGAAAGATGTGCGTTGATAGAATCCAGATCCTGTGAGCCAAGGCCTTCAGCGGTTGCTGTGCGCCTGTGTCGGTTGTCTGGCCGCAGTTTGTCTTACCCACGCGGCAGCTTCTCCTTCAGCGGTTGCTGTGCGCCTGTGTCGGTTGTCTGGCCGCAGTTTGTCTTACCCACGCGGCGGCTTCTCCTTCAGCGGTTGCTGTGCGCATGTGTCGGTTGTCTGGCCGCAGTTTGTCTTACCCACGCGGCGGCTTCTCCTTCAGCGGTTGCTGTGCGCCTGTGTCGGTTGTCTGGCCGCAGTTTGTCTTACCCACGCGGCGGCTTCTTCTCCAGCTCGGTGCTCTTGCAGCTTTAGAGGGCCTTCATTGCTGTCTGAATACGGCTTCATCTTACGCTGGTTGAGTTAGGGTGTTTTTAGTACATAAAGGGTTTATACTCCAAAAGTTCATTTGTAATTTCTTAGTTTTAAATTTAGAACATATTTTCTATTGAAATAGTAGGTAAGTGGTGAATGTTTTCACACCAATCCATTGGCTTTGGCAAGACACGAAACTTAGTCCAAAAGAAAAAAATTGGAAGTGTTTGAGGATAGATGATGAAGAGGGTGATGATTGCTTTGAAAGGTAGGGTAATGAAAGCTCTGCTGTTTGTTTAGTCCGTCTGTAGATGTCAGGAAAGATACCATGTGTTGTGGACTGAATTGAGTTCCCCCCAAATTCATGTGTTAAAGCCCTGCCCCCCAATGTGGCTGTAATTGGAGATAGGGTCTTTAAAGAGGTGGTTGAGGTTAAATGAGGTCATGAGAGCGTGGCCCTAATCCGGTAGGACTGGTGTCCTTGTAAGAAGAAGAGACACCAGGGATGTGCACACAGAGAGCAAAGGCCATGTGAGGACACAGCAAGAAGGTGGCGGTCTGCAAGGCAGTGAGGGAGACCCGGGAGAAGTCAACCCTGCCAACACCTAAGTCTTGGAGTTCTAGGCTCCACAACTGTGAGAACAGACATTTCTGTGGTTTAAGCCCCAGTCTGTGGTATTTGTTATGGCAGCCCTGGCAGACTAATAGGATCCCAATCAGTGCCCCAGGGAACATTAGTATCTAGAAAATGTTAATGGAGATTTCTTAAAAGGGATCCTTGGGAAATAATCCATGATATAGTCTCCCCTTAAGGGTTGACAGTGCATATTCATATATTAAATGTTCTTAGAAGCCTTGAAGCAAAGAAATGTTTAATTTTTTCAGCTTCTGCATTTCCCAAATATATTTGTCTATGGAACATCTCCTTCCCCTTTTTTCTTGTTTGCCTGAAAAGCTTTAGAGCATAATGTAATAGTTAAAATCAGAGGCCTTGGAATCAGCCCACCTAGATATGAATCCTAGCACTATTTTCCTCTTGGGCAGATTACCTCGCCAAATATCAGTTCCTTCCTCTGAAAAAAATGAGGTAATATTATTTACCTTTTGGAGTTGTTGTATAACACTTAGTATAGTGCCTGTTTCTCAGTATAATTAGTTATTTTTATTCTGAGTAAATTTACATTATACACAGAAATGTATAAAGTTGTGGTGCTCTATCACTAGACGGGTAATGGATACTGGCTTTGTTGTTTTAATGGAGGTGAAATTTCACATAACATTAACCATTTTAAAGTGAACAGTTCTGTGGCGTTACTACATTCACAACGGTGTATAACCAACATGTCTAGATCCAAACATTTTCATCACCTCAAAGTAAAACCCTGTACCCATTAAGCAGCGACTCACCATTCCCTCCCCCCCCTCCACCCCTGGCAACTACCAGTCTGCTTTCTGTCTTAACTGATTTACCTATTCTGGATATTTCATATGAATGTAATCATAAAATGTGACCGTGTGTCTGGCTTCTTTCACTTAGCATAATACTTTTGAGGTTTATCTATGTTGTAGTATGTCTCAGTATTTCATTTCTTTCCATTATATGTATATATCACAATTTGTTTATGTTTGTTCATAGACATTTGGGTGGTTTCTACCTTTTGGCTATTGTAAATAGTGCTGCTATGAAGTTTTGTGTAGATGTATTTGTTTGAGTATGTTTTAGTCCTTTTGGGTATAGACCTAGGAGTGGAATTGCTGGGTCACATGGTAATTTTATGTTTAACTTTTTGAGGAACCACCACACTGTTATCCACAGCAACTGAAACGATTTACATTACTGCCAGCAATATACAGAGTACCAATCTCCACATTCTCATTGACACTTGTTTTCCTTTTTTGTTTTTGATTGTAGCCATTCTGGTGGATGTGAAGTGATATCTCCTTTCCCTAATGACTATGTTGAGTGTCTTTTCCATGTGTTTATCAGCCATTTATATACAGTCATGTGTGGATTAACAATGGGGCTACGTTTTGAGAAACGCGATGTTAGGCAATTTCATTAAAGTGCAAACATCATAGAGTGTATTTGCACAGATCTACATGGTATAGCCTGCTACATACCTAGACTATATGGTGCTAATCTTATGGGACCACCATTGTATGTGCAGTCTGTCATTGACCAAAATGTCGTTATGTAGCACATGACTGTATTTTCTTGGGAGAAATGTCTGTTCAAGTCCTTCACCCATTTTTTAATTGGGTTACATGTTTTTGAGTTTTAAGAGTTCTTTATATGTTCTGGATACTAGACTCTTATCATATGTATAATTTGCATATATTTTCTCCCATTCTGTAGGTGGTCTTCTTTTCACTTGATAATGTCCTTTGATGCACAGCTTTTAATTTTCACGGTCCAATTTATCTATTCTTCTCTTTAGTTGCTCTTGCTTTTAGTGTCATATCTAAGAATCTGTTGCTAAATCCCAGGTCATGCAGATTTACTTGTGTAGTCTTCTAAAAATTTAATGATTTTAGCTCTTATATTTGGGTGTTTAATCTGTTTTGAGTTAATTTTTATAATGCAATGTGAGGTAGGGGTCCAGTTTCCTTCTTTTTATGTGGATGTCCCTAGCGAAATGCTTAAGATTCAGGAGACAGAATGCTTGGATCTAAATCTGGCATTACTGCTTACTACCTTGTGACCTTGGGCAAGTTACTGAAACTTCCCGGCACTCTATTTTCTTATATGTAAAATAATTGAAAAATCCACTCCATAACATTATTATGAAAATTGTATTGTATAATATATGTAAAGCACTCATTTGTGTCAGATATAAAGCACTTGACAATGAGAGATCAGTTTTGGCAAGAATTACCATTCATGTCTGTGATTTTTTTATTTTGAGGAAGATTAGCCCTGAGCTAACATCTGCCGCCAATCCTCCTCTTTTTTGCTGAGGAAGACTGGCCCTGAGCTAACATCTGTGCCCATCTTCCTGTACTTTATATGTGGGACGCCTGCCACAGCATGGCTTGACAAGTGGTGTGTAGGTCCACACCCAGGATCTGAACCAGCAAACCCTGCAGTGCCGAAGCGGAATGTGCAAACTTAACCTCCATGTCTGTGATGTTTTGAAGAAATCATTATTTAGTGACAACTAACCCAAGTTATAGTCCATCAGACCTAGACTAATACTTTAACTCTTCAAAAGGTAGGACTGATGGATCCAAATGAATTGAGATAAACTAGATATTAGGATAGAGTGGACATTTAACAGGATATCAGGGCATTATGGAGGGTATTTACTCCTTCACAACAACCCTATTTTATGAAGAAGAAACCTGAGGTTTAGAGTGTTAAGTAACTCTTCCAAGATACCATCAGATAATGATCCAGTGGCCGAGGTGGGATTCAAACCCACATCTGCTTCACTGGGAGGTCTGCTGCTTCATTCTGCTATGATGGCTCAGTAGAGGGAAAAAAAGATGGAATGAATACATCATCTGTCTTCCTTCCCGGAATTTCACATAATACTGGAGTAAGGAGAGATGAAGAGGGGTGTGTGTGTGTGTGTGTGAGAGTGACATATATATGTGCCACATAAAACATTGTATACTATCAATTCTCTAAGGGAATATTTTATTGTGATTTATATACTTTTGGCTAAACCTCAGACTATGGCATATTTGCTCTCATCTTCTGTAATTCTTTATATAATCAATATTTATAATCCAAGTTTTAATGTTTGATTAATTTTTTAGTATATTGAATTGAAAGAAAAAATGTTAACTTCTGGTAAATCTAGGGGTTTGTTTTCTGTTGAGGTTTCTGAGTCCAATATTTTAAATGATATTGAAGAAAATTTTACAATCCATACATTTAGGTTTCTTTTGTGGTTCTCTTAGATGTAATAAAGGAGCAGAATCGAGAGTTACGAGGGACACAGAGAGCTATAATCAGAGATCGAGCAGCTTTAGAGAAACAGGAAAAACAGCTGGTAAGTAGAACATTACATTTCAGTTTAACTTTTCATACAGATTTGGAAATTAATGTTGGAATAATTAACTAACTGGGAAAAAGACACATGGCAGGTGGTAAGTGATTTACTTTACTAGGACATGGCATTTAACGCTTTCTGCATTTCCTGCTTACCTTTGTTTATTATGTCATTCTGCCGACTTTATCAGGATTCTGTGTATTCTGCTGGTTATAAAATCAGATTATCCTTCAGTTTCTGGAAGTCATGAATGCCTAGAAAGAAATATTGCTCAAAGCAGAGCCACCTTCTTCTCAGTTAACAACAAAGATGAAATAGTCCTGGAAAACAAGGCTGAGTTCCAGAACATAGTGATGTTAACTCGTAGTTGGCTTACTTGATATTTTAACAGTTGTGTCTGTGATATGAATGTGCTTTTTTTTAATAGACTATCTTGCTCATCTTTAAATATTTTTATGCTCTGTTTTTAAATGTATGTTTCCTACAGTCTTTTTAAAAAAAGCGTGATTGAGGTATAATTGATATGCAATAACCTGTACATATTTAAAGTATATAGTTTGATAGACTTTGACGTACGTATAAGCTCACAAACCTAGGTGGGATAGCCTGCCGCATTACTACTTTACAGTCGAGAAACCGTTTCTGCAGTCGTGGTAATGAGCACACCCATCATCTGGAAAGGTTTCCTTATTCCCTTCGTAATCCCCCCTCCCCAGTTACGCAAACACTGGTCTGTCACTGTAGATTAGTTTACATTTTCTAGAATTTTATATAAATGGAATCTCGTAATATGAACTCTTTCTATAGGGGTACTTTCATTCATCACAATTAGAGATTAGTCAGTGTTGTTACGTGTATCAGTATTAATTCCTTTTTATTAATGAATGTTACTCCATCGTATGGATGTTCCACAATTTGTTTATTTACCAGCCATTGGACATTTGGGCTATTTCTAGGTTTTGGCTATTTTGAATAAAGTTGCTATAAACATTCAGTTGAAGTCTTTGTGTAAACATCTGTTTTCATTTCTCTTGGTTATATTCCCAGAAGTGGGATTTCTAGGTCATAGGGTGAATGTGTTTTTAACTGTATATGAAACTGCTAAACAATTTTGCCCAGTGGCTGTTAGTTTTCTTTTCTCACCAGCTATATATGAAAGTAAAGTTGTTCCGCATCCTGACCAATATTCGGAGTTGGCAGTCTTTTTCCTTTTAGCCGTTCTAGTGGGTGTGTAGTAGATTGTCATTTTAAAATTGTGTTTTCCTAATTGCTAAATCATTCAGCATCTTTTCATGTGCCTCTTTGCCACTTAGATATCTGCTTTGCCAGTGTCTATTGAAATATTTTACTCATTTTTCATCGTTATTTTCTTTTTATTTATTTCTAAGAGTTCTTTATATATTTTAGACACAAGTACTTTACTAAATGTATGTTTTGCAAATATTCTCTCCAGTTCTTGGTTTTGTCTTTTATTTTCCTGGTAGTGTCTTTGGAATAGAGTTTTACTTTGATCAAGTGTAATTTATGATTTTCTTCTATGATTAGTACTCTTAGTGTCATATCTAAGAAATCCTTACCTAACCCAAAGTCACTAATATCTTCTCTTATCTTTTCTTCTAGAAATATTATAGTTTTAGTTCTCACATTTAGGACTGTGAATCATATTGAATTATTTCACTGTATTGCCAATTGGAGATAGAGGTTCACTTTCTACATATGGAAATTCAGTTGTTCCAACATCATTTGTTGGTGACATTTTCCCCCAGCTCTTCCTTTGGACTATATGACTGTTCTTAAGCCATTACCACACTGTTTTTATTACCATAACTTTATCGTAAGTCTTAAAGTTATATGGTGCTAACCCTTCAACCTTGTACTTCCTTTTTTCAAAGTTGTTTTGGCTATTTTAGGTACTCTGCATTTCTTTATGAACTTTATAATAAACTTGTCAATTTTTACAAAAAGGATCAGATTTTGATTGTGATGACATTGACTATCTAAACCAATTTGGGAAGAATTGACATCTTAATATTAAGTCTGACAATCCATGAACACACTGTATGTCTCCATTTATTTAGATCTTTAATTTTTTCTCAGCAGTGTTTATTCTTGTAATCGTATACAGGTCCTGCACTTTTTTTTTGGTCACATTTATCCCTGACTATTTTATGTTTTGATGCTAGATGATATTTTAAAAACAAATTTGACTTCTGATAGTTTTCTTGCTGGTATATAGAAATATATTGCATTTTTGTATATTGATCTTGAATCCTGTAATCTTCTTAAACTCACTTATTCTAGTAGCCTTTTTGTAGATTCTGTTAGATTTCTACATCGACATTCATGTCATCTGTGAATAAATAAAACTTTTCATCTTTCTTTCCAATCTTGATGCCTTTTTTTTCTTTTTCTTACCTTATTTCACTGACTAGAACATCTAATGTTAAATAGAAGTGGTGATAGCAGACATCTTCATCTTTTTACTGATCTTTGGGGAAAAGACTCAGTCTTTTACTGTTAACTATGATATTAACTGTAGCTTTTTGTAGATGCCCTTTCTCAGGTTGAGGAAGTTCCTTTTTATCTAGTTTTCTGAGAGTTTTTATCAGGAATAAATTTTGTCAAATACTTATTTTTGCATCTATTAAGATGATCATGTAGCTTTTCTTCTTTAGTCTGTTAATGTAGTAAATTACATTGATTTTCCAAAGTTGAATCAAGCTTTTGCTCCTGGGATACACTCTGTTGGTAATGATGTATTTTTTTTTAATATTTTTGTTTTAATATGCTGAAATTTTGTTAAGAATATTTGCATCTCTGTTCGTGAAAGATATTGATTTGTAGTTATCTTTTTGTGTGGGGTCTTTATTTGGTTTTAATGTCAAGTAATGCTGACCTTAAAGCATGATTTGGCAAGTGTCCCTTACTCTTTCCTTTACTGGATGGGTTTATGTATTTCTTTTCATAGGATTCATCTGTAAAGCCATTGGGAGTGAAGTTTTCTTTGTGGATAGGTTTTTAAACTACAAGTTCACTAAAAAAAATGCATGTAAAATGGATCAGGTTATCTGCCTTGTTGAGTGAGCTTTGGTGGTTAGCATCTGCCAAGTAATTTTTCCATTTCTACTAAGTTTTAAAATATAATGACCTGTTATTGTTCATAGTATTCCCTTATTCTTCTTTAAAAACCTTTAGGATATGAAATGATGCCACACTTGGCATTCTCAGTATTTTTAGTTTGTGTGTTCTATCTGTCTGTCTGTCTGGGTTTTTTCCCTCATCTGTCTGGCTGATGGTTTATCAGTTTGATCAATCTCTTGTAAAAAACCAGCTTTTGATTTCATTAACTTTTTGTATTGTTTTTTCTTTCCTACTTTATAGATTTCTTGTTTGTATTATTTTCTTCCTTTTGTTTACTTTGGGTTTTATTTGCTTTTCTTTTTTCTACTTTATTTGAAGCTTATGAGATGCTCATTTTTTAAATACAAGCTTTAATGCTATAAATTTCCCTCTAAGAACTGTTTTAACTGCAGCCCACACATTTTGATATGTTACCTTTTCATTTTATTAAGTTCCAAATATTATCTGATTTCTCCTGGGAATTTTTTTTCTTTAACCCATGACTTATTTAGAACTATGTTGTTTAATTTCTGTTTAGTCGTGATTTTCCTTCCTTTACTGATTTCTAGTTTAATTTCATTGTGATTAGAGAACATGCTTTGTATAATTTCAGTCGTCTTAAATTTATTGAGCCTTGTTTTCTGATACAGAATATGGTATATTTTGGTGTGTTTTTTGGTTATTTTTTGGTATGCACTTGTAAAGAATGAGTATTCTGCTGTTAGTGATGGAGTTTTTTTATAAGTGTTGGTTAGGTCAAGTTGGTGATTATGTTTTTTGTCAATCTGTGTCATAGATTTCGTGTCTACTTGTTCTAACAATTATAGCAGTATACTTGAGAGAGGAGTTGATAGCACTCATGCTAATTGTGAATTTATCTGTTTTTCCTTTGAGTTCTCTCTGTTGTGATTCGTATGTTTTGATGCACTGTTACCAGGTGCATACACATTCAGGATTGTTTCAGCATCTTTGTGTATTGATGCCTTTATTATTATGAAATGCCCCTGTTTATTTCTGATAATATTTCTGTTCTCAAGTTTTTTAATCTGATGTTAATGTAGCCACTCCAGCTTTCCAGAGTTTAATAAGTATTTATGCAGAATATATTTTCTGTCCTTTTGCTTAGCTTCGTTTCTGGAGATAGAATAGTTTCTTGAGTTTATGTTCTTCTCCAGTCTGACTACCTGCCTTTCATTGAGGTATAAAGTGGACCTTTTCACCTAATATGATTGCCCAGATTATTAGCTTTAAATCCACCTCTGTGTTCCATTTTTATGTCCCACCAACTCTTTGTTTTTCCCTTCTTTCTACCTACTTTTGGGTCGAGTTTTTTTATTTTCTTCCGGGCTTTATGTGAGTGCTGTTTTGTAGATTTGCTTTGTATTTGTGGATAAAGTTCCTGGTTCTCTCTTTCCTGTGTACACGTGGGAGACATTGCCCTCTCCAGTTACCGTTTTTCTCTCTGACTTTATGCCACACTCTTCCTCTATCGTGATCGGGAGAAAGGATTTACTAGGTATGTTCGATCCGTTCCTCTGAAATAAGTTATTGAGGACTACCTCTCAATGATTTTATTTCCCTGTTTTTATTTCCTTTCTTAGGAATTAGAAATTAAGAAAATGGCCAAGATTGGTAATAAAGAAGCTTGCAGAGTTTTAGCCAAACAGCTTGTACATCTACGGAAACAGAAAACAAGAACTTTTGCTGTAAGTTCAAAAGTCACTTCTATGTCCACACAAACAAAAGTGATGAATTCCCAGATGAAGATGGCTGGAGCAATGTCTACTACAGCAAAAGTAAGTGGGAGCCTTGATTTCCCTGGATTTATAAGTTTATCTAAGATGTTCAAATGTCAGTGTTCAAGGTGGATTTAAAAGCACCTCCTAAATATAGGTGATACAGAATCTGTGTAATATTTAGTAAAATGAGTTATACTACTAGATAATTCAGATAACTACTTCTAGATTCTTTATTGATTTCTTTTAATATAAAATTTATTGTTTTAGGACATTTTGATTGTTCCAGGGTCACATGTAGCATCTGAATTACTTAATTTGAGCTAAAACAGTGTTTGCTTTTTTCCTTAAACTTTCAGAAGATTTTTGAGCTTCGTATTTCATTAAGCTCTAAGTTTTGATTACTTTTGAGTAATTATTTCCTTTTGATTCATTTTCATATATATATCAGAAGGACACATGAATACTGTGAGAAGAATTTATCAGTTAATTTTATTAGGAACTATGTTTCACTTAGTCTTTATATAAGAATTAAATGTTTTTACTATAGAGTTTAAAAAACTCTAAGTCTTTTGATGTTTTAATATCAAATGAGCTCCTTGATGTATATGAAGTACCATGAGCTGTAAGCAGTTTGAGACGAAGGCTCTCCTCTCGTAGATCGTATAATTTGCTTGGGCGGGGGGTAGCTTAAGATATGTCTGAAAGGGAAGCTCCCCACACACGTGAGGCTGTGCGAGCCTTGGTGAACTGCACGGATCTTCGAGTAGAATGATCTGAGAGACTTGGCAGAAGACCTAGGTGTTAAAAATATCACTAAGTGTTAAACATAGGGAAAGAGGAGTATGAACGTGAAGAGCAAAAGGAAACAAAGCCACAGAGCAGAGAAAGTACAAGGTTTATTTTAGGAAGATGGTGTATACAGTCAGTTCTTGTTGTTTGCAGTAGTTAATGTTCTGTCAAGTTGAGAATGCTGTTAGTGAATATCGAACCATTGCTCCCAGGGGAGATGCAGGGTCGGGCTTAGGTTCCTCTGAGCCTCTGCTCACAACATTTGTCGACTGATCTGTCCTTAACTTTGTTTTATGTGCATTTCTGTTGAAAGACTCCGTATTTAATATATGCCGGTGATGTGTTAACATTGAACTCATGGTCAGCAGACTGTGACTTCTGCCTGAGCAGAGCTCATCTAACAGGTGTGTTTTCTTCATGAGCGCATCACAGCCTTCTTGCACTCAGGACACTAGACAACACTTTAGTGCCATGCTCGGGGGCCGTTTTCACCAGCAAAATCACCAACAAAGGCACAAAAACATGGCACTAAATAGACCATGGGAAGGACGCTTGTTTACAGTATGGGAGCCGAGGCAAGAAGGCAGAGTGTGGCCTCGCTTGATCTCAGCTGGACATGTGTACGTGGGGTGACATGAACTCTTGGCTGCTCTGCGCCTGAGCCCGAATGAGCAGGAGCACTGCAGGAGCACTGCGGGAGCACTGCCGGAGCTGATGGAGGATGCAGATAAGCCAGGGAGTGGGCAGATTCACGGAGAGGGAGTCCAAAACAGTGAGAGCAGTTCTACTTGTTTCTTAGACCATAGGTCACGGGAAAATAGAATTTGTCCATCTTAGGTACAGTAAGAAGAGAGACATGTTATGTTCTTTAAAAAATAGAGACAGTTTCAATGTAAGTTTTATTCTGTCAGTTAGCTTAGCCTTAATGGATCTGAGTGGAAAATACATAGTTAAGGGAAAAACCTTTTGTTTTCCTTTTTTGTTTTACATATGGACAGAAATAAACCTTTATCTAATTTGGGGAAAAGATCTTGTGTTTTGATCACACACCTGGGTTAGATAACCTTTCAGTTCTGCTGAGAGAGGAGACTACTCATTTTGCAGTTTTCTGCAAGTTGTTGGCTAGGAAAAGACCTAATGTGGTCCTCCATATAGAGATAGCTGAATTGGAATTTTCACTTAAATTTCTTAGAACTGTGTTAATTCAGCAAATATTTGTTTAGATCCTAAAGGTAGGAACTATAAGTGATGGGGATGAAGTGGAAAGCAAAACCAGGCAAGGGCTTAACCTGTAGTAGATTATAGTCTATTTAAAAAGCAGCCCGTTTGAGAGGGAGTGGTCTGCTCTGATTAGGAAAGTAAGTTCTGGAGCCACACCACTTGGGTTCACATCTCACTCCACTTAGTAGCTGTGTGACCTTTGACAAGTTATTTCATGTTTCTGTGCCTTCATTCTCCATTTGTAATATAGGGAAAATGGTAGTATCTACCACATGAAGATTGGTAAGATTTAAATGTCATTTAACTTTATTATATATAAAGTGCTTAGAACAGTGTCTGACATGCAGTGAGGTTATGGAGGCACTAACTGTTCTTTTATTATCATTGTCATCATCATTGTTGTTAGCCTTATTTACAATAATAATATAAGTTGCAAGTAAAGTGATATAATTTACACCAATAAATACAAAATTTCATCTATAGTGAGTAGGACAATAATAATAGGGGTACCTGATCTAATCTGGAGTGTCAGGGACTCCGCTTCCCTAAGAAAGTGTTATATAAACTGAAATCTGAAGTGCTGATAGTGAAAGCAAATGGAGAAGAGCATTCCAGGTGAGGGCCAGCATATACAAAGGTCCTGGTACTGGAGAAAGCATGGCACATTGAAGGAAATGAAAGGGCAGTGTGGCTAGAGTGCAGTGGTGCAAAATGAGACCAGCTTGTTAAGCAGAGTTTGGTTGATGTTTGGAATCATGGGCCAATTATGGAATTTGGCTTTTAATGCTAAGGGCAATGGAAATCCACTGGAGAGAGAGGTATGTGTGAGCTCGTGGGGATTGGGGGGAGTGTAGTGTCATACTGAAAAGACTGGTTACAGCATTGCATACGGGTTATCTGAGAAAAGACTGTGTTTGCTTCATAGCTTTGAAACCCATATGTTTTATATTGTATAGTGTCTTTTACTACTGAACTTTCATAATACATATATTTATTTTATATATATAAAATGTTTTGGCCATACTAGATAGCATTAATCTCTTATAATGAAATAAGTTGTGAATATAAAATGTAAGACAATTCTTTTCGTGTTTTTGCAAGTATGTATGCTAGGGTATCCTTTTTAGTTTAGACATTAAATGTTTAATGAAAAATTTTGTAAAAATTAAATTAAAATTCCTTTTAATTTAGACAGTCTTGCCACATAATAGGCAAATGTAGTTTTTCCATGTGAATAGCAGTGGGTTTTATGTTGGCACTGTTTTTTATTGCATAATTTTTTGCCTACTATTCAGATGAGGTTTTTCACACAGGCCTTTATTGTATAGATGTTAAGCAGATGGTTTCCAAACGAGTATGTCTTTTCCTCCCAGAATACTTAGCACTCTTAGTTTGCTTATGGCAGGATGTATGTCTTTAAAAGCCCGTCTCTATTTGATATGCTCCCTTTGGACTGATGCCATAGTAAAACTCGCGTAGTCTCTAGCTAACATGAATCTTTCATATGTTTCAAGACAATGCAGGCAGTTAACAAGAAGGTGGACCCGCAAAAGACGTTACAGACAATGCAGAATTTCCAGAAGGAGAACATGAAAATGGAGATGACTGAGGAAATGAGTAAGTTTAGTAGCTTGTAATGATATTTACAACTTTCTCATCTTTGAATTAGCCAAGTTTATTTACCAGCAACCTCATATCCTCATCCGTGAAAGCACAAATGTTGAAAAAAGAAATGGTATGTCAGCCTTCTAGACAGAGAGTCTATATTGTAACTCCAGTGTGTTTTTAAACTGGCAATGTATTTAAAATTCCATTTATGTTTAATTGGAGGAAAAATGTAAAATATATTATGCTGTATTTCTCTGCCCTGTTGGCCCCAGCAGTTGTACTTTATTGAGTAGTGGACCCAAACCAGCTTGTGAGTACAATGAGTCTTGCTGGGATGGATTAGGCAGTTTCAGAGTTGTGTTGATTCTTTTGTTCTGTGGAAGATCTCTTTGTATTGAAGGTAGAGACATAGTGGAGCTCTTTCATTCTTGTTTGTTTTTCCCTCCCAAAGTTATTTAATATTTAGTTTTCTTCTTTTTGAGTATAAACTGATTGCATGCTGTGGTGGAATATGGAGAATAGAAAGGAACAAAGCATATTAAAAAAATCTATCATCACACCACTCAGGTATAATTGCTGTTAATGTTGTATGTTTCTTTCCTCTATTTTCCCTTATCTTAAAATAGTTAGATCATATTACATGTACAATTTTGAGCCTCATGCTGCTTTTAAAAAGCATAATAGTATAACTTAAGCATGTACTCATGACCTAAAATGTTCTCTGAAGTTTGTTTTTTTTTGGTGAGGAAAATTGTCCCTGAGCTGACATCTCTTGCCAATCTTCCTCTTTCTGCTTGAGGAAGATCGTCCCTGAACTGACATCTGTTTTCTTTCCCCAGAAGTTGTGTAGGTGCCAAATGGCAGAATGAAACTCTAATCGAAGGCTCAACATTCACTTTATTTCTTCAGAGATGCTATTCCATTTTTTTGTTCTTAAGCTCTCGTCTTTTCTATATTTATTTTATACTATCAAGCTCATACAAAAAACCAAATTGTCAAATCATGCTCATACAAACCAGAGATCAAGCTTTATTAATAATGTCAAAGCTACAAGCAGTTAAGATGTACATGCAAAACAGAGAGAGGGTTGGGACATCCCAAATGACTCCCCCAAACTTTTCTTCCCTTATCAGAAACAGCTCTTTGATCCAGATTAATAGACGATGTGTCCAATGAGATTTGCTCATCCTCTCATGTGGAAGGGGGCCTTTAGGTTATGAAACACCTTAAATTTCTACCTCAGATGTAGATTTCTACATCTACCTAAGGTAACATTTTCTAGGGAGTCATGGCTCATAAATGCATAGATTGTAGGTTCGTTTGCTATGGCAGTCCTAAACCAAGGACATCCTGCTGAGAGCATCCCATAGGCTAGGACTCTTTCGCTGGCAAATATTGATCTGTTTATCAGGAGCACGATGAGTAGCGTGCTTATGAGGAGATCAGAGTGAGTTACCTGTCTTTCTTGCTTTGGGAGCATTCCCCAGCAATCAGGAGAATGATCACAGGCCACCTGCTTAATGCTTTCCCTCCCAGCCATTTTCCATCCACGCACCTTAAATAATGACCACACAGAACTTAGTCTTCCTTGTATGTGTCCCTGTTGCCTTTCACCATGTCTTTGCTCATTCTCTTCCTTCTGCCTCTGTTTGGTCAAATCCTGTGCGTCCTTCAAGGGCTACCTCACATGTTGGATGTAATCTCTTCCCTGTGAAGCTTTATAATCATTTATCTTTTCATTTACCACAATCTGTTAATTTTTTTCTTCTCTACTTAATTGTAAACTACCTAAGGTCTTCATCGTCTCCATGTATCTATCAGTTCTCTTGCTACTGTGGGCCAAGCACTTAGTTTCAAAGACAAATAAGACACAATTCCAGGCCTTCAGAAATTCCTCCCACAGCTCCAGAAATGCTGCTTTCTATCCAGAAGGCTTTCTCTACACATTTTGGGAAGAAGGAAGGACGGAGGGAGGGCTGTAGCAGTAATAATCATTGCAGGGTTAAATTGGACATCATTCTTGGGACAAGTTTAGTAAAATATTGAACCCTAGACTTTGTTAGAATGTTCTCCCTGCATCTTGAGTGTAAAGTAAGGAAGCTGCAATACAGTGCACAAAGGATAAGTTGTCTCCCAGCCGCGTCCAGGGTGTTGATTCTGTACGTTCTTCCAGGCTCTGCTTTACAGCCACCAGCTCCATGGATGCAGTTTGTGGAAGCGTATTTAAAAACTTGAAGCCTGGAGCTGTGAATATCATAGAGTTCTTGTTTATTAAAGAGAGAATTTTCTAAAAATCTAGAGCTGACTTGTTTTATTATAGGATAATTTGTGTTGAAATGAAAATTATTCCAGATTTAGTGCCTCAAAAATGTGTTTGACATTGAACTTCACTGACATTTGAGTGACTTTTGTAGTTTGTTGGTTCACCTGAGTTTGCCCTTGTGTCATGTGCAAAATGTGTACACGTAGTCGGGCTGCCTGCTAAAAATGCAGATGTGACCTGAAGTCTGTTTGAGAGTAACTGCTGTGTTTCTCCCTGTGCCCCAAGTCAATGACACACTTGATGACATCTTCGATGGTTCTGATGAGGAGGAAGAAAGCCAAGATATTGTGAATCAAGTTCTCGATGAAATTGGAATTGAAATCTCTGGAAAGGTATAAACGTCTTCTTTGCTCAGTTGAAAGTAGTTTCTACCACTTTTGTCACTTTAAGTTGTCCTTTACTGTGAGGTGCGTGTTTTTATATTTTTTGAAAGGTAAAGGAAACCTCTTTGCAGCTCATCCTTTATGTCCTAGGCCAAATGTTTAATAGTGCGCATTTTTCTCGTCCCCTCTCTGTACTGTAGATGGCCAAAGCTCCGTCAGCTGCCCGAAGCCTACCGTCCGCCTCGACGTCGAAGGCCACAATCTCCGATGAAGAGATTGAACGGCAGCTCAAAGCTTTAGGAGTAGATTAGTCAAAAGAGCCACAGTATTTTGCTTACGTATAATTTAGTATAAACCAGGCACAGTGCAAATTCCTTTGACAAAACACATTTATTTTGTAAAAATGAAGACCATGAATAGACAGTTGTTTCCTAACCCATGGCTATTTTGAATCTTTTGCCAAAGAATGACAATGATCCAAAAATGAGAACAGTTTGGATGTTAATTAGAACTATTTAGGAGTGATGATGTGTAAAGGTTGACTTCTTTTCTGCATGGCATAGAGAAATTATATTCATTACTTCGTGTAGTTTATGTTCTAAATCTTTTTACAGTGAACACAAAATCTTGTTAAAGCCGCTAGGCACCAACTTAAAGAGACTTGTAAAAATATTAAAAGTGTATCATTAATTCTGTATCTGTTGCTTGTCCTTTGTAAGCGATATGTGTTATGACCATAGGTGGTTCAGCTGCCAAATTAATTTTAAATGATCTTGAGGAAGAGTGCTACTTAAACATCTGTCTTAACATGAAAACTGTCACCAGCTTTTCTTCTTTTTTTTTCCTTTGGGGGAACATTCTAGCTGGTAAGTTTATTTCCTTCCAAAATGTACTTGGCACCTGCCTTAAACAGCACAAGCATATTGTCCACATCTTTGAATTATTTTAACTGACAGAAAAGTATTAAATTTTAAACTAAAATTGAGTGCTCTGACAAAAATTATCCAGGCTCTCTTTTGTAAAGCTTATAAGAGTAAGTTGGATATAATTAGTAAAAACACTGAATTGATAACATTTGATAGTAATAAAACAATATATTTTGGTCTTTCTTCTAAGAACTGAGGGAATTTCTCTATATGTGCTATAATTTTAATCTCCATTTAATTTTGAGCTGTGTTAATGTGCACATTGAACACTCTAAATTGAAGCCATCATTCTCAACTGAGTAACACTACCATAACAATACTTGAGACCTAAGTTTTAAAATAAAAGTTAGCATTTTTTTTGGTAAATGAAAATCAACTGTGTCAGAAATTACTGCTTAAATGTGTATTAATGTGTTAGTATTTTTTAAGGTAAAGTTGCTATGGTATTTAATGTATGTATAGAAAGTGAGAAGAAACGAAGTGGCAGATTAGTTAGAGATAGGATTTAGAGTTAGGTTAATTTTGAAAAATGATGCTGTAATATATGGGTTCTAGGACATCCCAGCATAAACACTCCAGAGGAGATCAGATAGGTGTAACCGGGTTAATTTAGGATGATGGGCATTTTGGACTAATATTGACAATGCAAATCCATTTCAGTGTAAATCCACATGTTCATGTGACAAATGGATTGGTGGGAAGGAGAAGTTAAACTATATAGTTTGTAATCCATAAACCATTTTATAATGTTCAAAGATGAGGTTCCATTACTGATACTCTTAAACACAGTTACCCTGGACATTGATGGGTCAAAACATTTTACTGGATTATGGAATGTTAACCCAGAACTTGTTTTGATTCTTGGATGTACATAATAATGCCAGCTAACTTTATTTACTTTCTTGTTTACATGTGGGGGCTTTTGGTTTTAAAAATTATTTTGTTAAAAAAATTTCAATAAAGAGTTATTGCTGTTATGCTTTTCTTTTCCTTATCTCTTTGACTCTATTTTTGACTTCTGCTAAAGTTAAAATTTTTATGCATATCTAGAAATTTTTCAAAAGAAGTATTTTTATTATTTTCTTGGAAGGGAAATTAGGTAACTCTGCTACTTACATTTTAACAAAAATTGTCCTTTAAAAATTAGTAATTTCTTGGGCCGGCCCGTGGCCTGGTGGTTAAGTTCAGCATGCTCCACTTCAGCAGCCCAGGCTCGGTTCCTGGCACGCACCTGCACCACGTGTCAGTGGCCATGCTGCGGCTGCAACCCACACAAAATAGAGGATGACTGGCACAGGTGTTCGCTCAGGACGAATCTTGCTCAGCAAAGATAAATAAATAAACTAGTAATTGGTACAGGACTGATGTTTGTGAATGGAGTAAGCCTGTGACTTGGTGGTTTCACGTGAAACTGGTCCGATAATTCTTCTCCTAGAACTTCCATGGGATAAACATTTTTAAATATTTTTGAACAGATAAGTCTTAGTGATTTCTTTCATTTCAGTCGAACGTGGATGCCACAGAGGACTTTGGGACCCAGAGGAGAGAGGAGTCATTCTGATTTGGCTACATTTATAAAATGCTGTGGTGGTAGTTTTCACAATCACTATAAATTTGTAATGTTATGCTGTCCTTTGCTAAAAATAAGACTTCCTTTTGGACCGTTAAGATTAGGAAACAAGGATTCTTACACACTGAGTTTAATGAAAATATTGGGTTTTTTTAAACTTGCTTTCCCTAACTTCCCATTTTTGGCAAAAGGATTTCTGTAGCAACTATATTCAAACAAGAGGTTGCCAATAGAAAGCAGAAGAATAAAGCAATTTCTCTGTTACCGAAAAGGATGCAGCCCAACATCGTATTCTGTACTGGATGTAAAAGTTGTGGATGGAAGAGGCTTCAGAGAAGCAGAATGTGGTACAAAGATGTCGATGCTAGCAGTGGTAACACCTGGTCTTAGAAAACACAAAGTGGCCATCTGTCAGGTGCTGATGCTGTGCAGACTGCTCTGCTCTGAAGAGAGGGCCTGGTTAGGGCCGGGGCTAGTGGGCGGCCTCAAGCCTGACCCTGTAGACCGGAGTGGGGAATCTGGCAGCCTGTGAGCCTTGCACTATTTGACCGCACAGTGATGTGTATTTTATCATTTGCATTTAAATGCCTTTAGGAGAAGCCTGCACTCCCCCCTCAGCCACATGTACATTCCTTACTAGCCCAGTAGCCACGCTTGAATCTGATCTCTGTGTGTGTAATTGAAATATGTACTTCTCTTCATACACTTCTATGTTAAAACTGTGTCCAGGTCTGAAAAGAGACCCATGGTGACCGTCTCCCTTGATGCCATTACTCTGCACGAATAGGTGTTTGCAGCTACAGACAAACAGATCAGCTTTCCAATTTCCCCTCCTATAAGCGAGTCTCATGAAGGGATTTAAGACCATTCTTTGAATCTTAATTCCTTCCAGAGACAACTGGATTAAATCTGTCTTAGGGGAAGCCTGAGGATTGTGAAGGCTGACTTCAGGTACCCTACTGTTGGACATCACACATTTCACCCCCACTCCCCGCCATCCTCCCAGGAACTGGAAACATGGGAGCGGCCCGGTGGTGTGGTGGTTGGGTTGGTGCGTTCCACTTTGGTGGCCCAGGGTTTGCAGGTTCAGATCCTGGGCGTGGACCTAGCACCATTCATCAAGCCACACTGTGGCAGCATCCTACATAAAATAGAGGAAGATTGGCACAGATGTTAGTTCAACGACAATCTTCCTCAAACAAAAAAAGTGGAAGATTGGCAATGGATGTTAGCTCAGGACCAATCTTCCTCACAAAAAAAACACCACACACATATGTACACCTCCCATCCCCAAACACTGAAAATATTTCTTTAGATGACTCTTACCACCATTAGAGATGGAAAGGTAAACTATGAAGTAGTTTCTCAACCACCTCTACCAGGTAAAATTAAATGTGCCAGTTGGTGTAAGCGACAACAGGTCTTTCCATTTTAATGGACAACTCTACTGAATTCCTGAAGATTGATCACAGAGGAGCTCACAAGACCATCACGATGGACGGCTAAAGTCACCTTTTGATGTTTATTCCCAAAAGTATGAACATAGACACGGCACAGTAAGTTACATTTGTCATTTGTTTAAAATTCTAAACATTAACCATTTTCTGTTTTTAGAAAGGTCAGTATCTATTGAAATATTAATCTCAATGTAGTTAGAAAATACAGTCTCAAGACTCATTAATACAAATGAGTTAATAGTAAATACCAGTGCATTTGCAACTAATTTGTGAATAAAAAATAGCAATAACTAAAGAACTGCTATGTCAAGTGTAAGTATTGATTCAAAATAATTCCTTTTAGGGAGAAACATTGGTTCCCAATGCTAGTTGTATCTAAACTTGAAAAGAATGACCTTAATGGATGAATGTCTGATAATATTTTGGTCTAAACATAAATTTGTGGTGATGATGTGATATATACATGGCTGTTTTTGTTACAGAAAGTAAGGCAGATTAAACATCCCCAGCAGATTCATATTTAAAGTGCAAAAAAGTCACTATTCTAGATTTATATTGCATTACATTTTCCTTCTATTTGCAAGTTTCGAAGATGTGCATGTGTGTATTTTTGTGTGTATATGTGTGTGTACATCCTACCCTGCCTCTTGCAAACTAGAGAATCGCTTCCCCAGTTAATGTGTGTGTTAAGCAGGGGAATTATCCAGAGAAGGCACTTATACACCCACATTGCTGAATAATTTGGAATTTACTCTTGAATAAGAAAAGCCATTATAAGTACATTGTATTTAACACCTCCTGGGTGTTACACGTGTGCTTAAGCATGGATGATCAGGCCGCTGAAAACTGGTTTTTTTGTTAATATGTCAGTTTCTAGCCATCCAGTTAATGGTGATTATGTGTGCACAAACATGTATGATCTACGGAGACTGTGGCCTGTATAATGCTTGGTCTTTATTAATATCACAAAAAGCAGGCGACTAGACAGTATAATTTATTTAGTGAACATTCTAAATCAACAATAAAATTTGGTCTAATTGTTCCCATTTTTGGTGTATAAAATAAGTTAGATAAACATTGCCAGCAGATTTACATTCAAAGTGCAAGATAAGGCCGGTTTTTGATATTGATATCACATTACGGTTTGCTTCTACCTGCGAGTTTCCAAGAAGTGCATTCTTATAAATTAGATCTCTCCCTTGAGATACGATTCCCTGAATTGAAAAGCTCAATATATGAGACTTTCCTGTTAATAATAACTCATATTCTAACCAATTCAACCAAAAGTGATAGTCTTTTTTCATAGGATCCTAGATGACATTCTGAGTTGTGAGGTTTCAAAAATAAATTGCGTAATTAAATTAGGCACCCTTCAAGTTTGAGGCCACTGTTAACAGCACACGCCTTCATTCCTTTAACAAATGCTGCATGCCCTGTATGAGCAACTGCTTTCCAGACACTGGAGAAGCATCAGCAAACTAGCCAGACAATTCCTGGCTCTGTCAGAGCGGACAGCGGAGCAGTGTGGGGCTCAAGAATTCATAACGGATATTTTCTATAGCTAAACATCAGAAAAGCCTCTTTTGAAACACTCTAGGCGCTATGCCCTAAATATTAGCTTCAAAGGTGTCACTTCTGATTAAGATCTATTCCTAAATGCAATAATACAATTCTAAGGTACCTCTGGCTCTTAAGTGCAAAAGTTTTAGTTCAAACAAACCATTAGAGCTGATGATAAGTAGGACCCTGGTGAAGGAATTTTCTAATTGGATCTTCTCTGGTGATATTTGTTAACTAGGTGACGTTAGTGACTGAAATATTAAAAAGCTAATATACAGCCTTTGAGAAATGAACCTTTAAACTAAAAGACCCATGTGCACACTCATGTGTGTGTGTGGAGAAAGAGAGACAATCATTGTTTTATTCCTATTAGTAACTTTGGCTTAAAACGTACACTGTGGCTTCTGAGAATAATTATTTTAAAGAAAATAATTCATCAACATAATTTAAATTGTATTAAAGTAGAAAAGCAAGTCTTCTGCGAAAGTTATTGATATAAAATGAGTTTTGAAGGCAACCAAATAACTAATTTCTATTTTTGTTGGAGAAGAGAAAGGAATGAAAATGAATCAGTTGGCTATTACACAATAGGAGATCTTATCTGCATTCAAGATGCTCCTTAGAAATAGTGAATAAACTCTGATTCAGACTTGTTTTCACCCGTTTTTCTCTTTGCCTTCGGTTGCAAAACCAAACTCTTACTACTTCTTTCTCCAGATTCAGTTCTTCAGCCATCCGCATGATCTCCTGAGAGGAAGGTTTATTCTGTTCTCCAAAGTGTCTCTCCAGAGCGTCTTTAGCAGCAATACTGGGAGGTGGGGCGAGAGGGGGAATAAAGGGTAAGATTATGTTTTGAGTGATGTTTTTGGCAGATCAAAATTAAGTTAGGTTGAATTTCCTAAACATTAACATGAAAAAGAAACTTAAAGACTCAAAACACTTTCAAAGCTCTTCAACAAAGATAAACGTAGAATCTATGGAACATTTCGATGCTTGTCTTGCGCAGGGTACTGTTTCCAGATTCACAGGAACAAGTAGGGGAAACCAGGCCTTGTGTTTATCCACTTTGTGCCACAAGAGGGCACTGACATTCTGAGAAGGAATGGAACGCTTCTGCAGGCATTTCTAAATGTCCCCAGAAATCAAGTAGGGTGTTTACAATAGACGATATAGTTAGTGACCAACTAACCGACCAAAACAAAACCTACAGTATTTTCGCGTTTCCTCTGTGAGCCTCACAGAGATTACACAAAGACCAACGAACAGTCTCTCCGGTTTGAAATGCAAGGGGTCCCCTTGGAGGTGCAGGGACTGAAGTACTGATCACTAGTTATGTTATTCTTCATAACATGGACACCATGTTGCCAGAGCAAGACTTGTATCTAACGAGACTTGTATCTAACAGAAGAGCGGAAACAGTCGCTCTTCTCAGAAGTGGCTGCTCAGGCTCTGCTTCATCCCAAACTGTGCGGAGCAGAAGTATTCTTGAATCAAACGGTACCTACTTTACATTAAATGTTTAAAATTACTAGCCCTCCATTTCTCACGATTCAGTTATTAAATGATGCTTTTTCACCTGTTTTGTCAATGGACTGTTCACCTTACATTTACATGTCACGGTGCACCCATGCTCATTCCATCTGTAAATTATGTTCCTTCCTCTAGTACCTTATCGTTGTTCTCCGTTTCCTTTTCCTTTCGTTTACTCCCACTTTTTCATTGTACAAAGCTGCAATGGAGAAAAGAGCGATAATTACAAAAACAAAGTAGGCAGTTTTTTTTAAACTATTAGATTTGGATTTCAAGTTTTCTTTATAAAACAATCTAAAATAAAATTACTACACATTTTTGTTTCAGAATTTTGCAGTCTACGTCACTTTATATTACAAGCCCCAGAGAAAAATGTTAACGCAGAAATAAATATTAACTTTGCAAAGACAGTTGTCTATAAATTGTATCCTTACATTACTTTTATTGGAACACTTGCTCTAAATGCTCTCAGACCTACTCTTTATCCAGCCTTGACATTAGTAGGACTAGATAACTTTATCACATTAAATTACTCATCTAGCTTATGTTATTTCACTAGGAAGAGTGGTGTATGAAATGCTCTGGTTACACTAAACTTAGGTTACAAGAGTAATTCATGTGCAATTACTACAGTGTAGCACAGAGGCAAAAAAAATCAGGATGTATTTAAAAAAAATCATCTCCCCACTTCACACCCATGCCACATTACCGAGAAGGCTCTCCTTCGATATCTTATTCTCTCTGTTCACCTTCTCCGTAAATTGATTTCTATGCTTGCATTGGCCTTCCTTTTTTATAGTGTGCTAAAATGAGATATTTATCTTTCATCTCAAAGAGAAAACCAAACCAAAACCAAACCCCAAAGCTCTCACTGTAGTGTCCTCCTCCCAGTTGAAGCCATCATCTTTTAGGTTAAAACATCACACAGCCCTCAGAAATAGCGCTTGGCTACCTCCTACTTGCTCAGCCTCCTCCAGCCATTTGGATAGGATTGCTTTCAGTTTGCACGCATTTTTAAAGCTGAGCTGCAGGTTTTCAAATCGGCAGATCGTTGTTTGGCTGAACTCAGAGCCGTGCACGGCCGCCAGCGCTTCCCCGACGTTCGTTTGGGTGTATCCTGGGAAAGGACAACAAAGACCGTCAGCTTCCGCTTTTCATGAAGCGTTCATTGTGGTCCATCATTGCACAAATCTGTGCATCTTTCTTTGTCAGCTATTGAATACTGCTTTTAAGAAATATATTTGTTGGCAATTTAAAGTTGTTTAGTAAGATTCAGTGTAAACTGTCCTGTACTTCAAAACGTATTCCTTCCAGTTAAATTATTTTTTTCTAGAAGTCAAAAAATTCAGATAGGAACATCTGCCATTCATAACATTTAGTCATATTGGACAGATAAGTCATAAACACCTTATAAACACTTAAAAATTTTTGCCCTATTTATCATTCTTATTAAAAATATCTGATGATATATGCTCAAAAATCTATCATGTATTAAATATAACGCATAAAATATATGATGATAGATCATAAATATTTTTATCTTAACTGTAAGAATGAAAAATTCAACTATATTTTTGAAAGGTACCAAATAAAACTGAGAATTGTTCTTACTTTCCCTAAAAACATGTTTATTATGAGAGTATGCTCACACATTTTATGTATACCTCTGAACACATTCATTATATTATTTGTTGATGCTTCTATCTCCAGGCAAAAGATATTCATTGATTGTCGCAAACGTTTTTAGAGTACAAGCTGATGTAAACCATCAATATAGAATTTGAAATATTCACAGCAAGAGAAATAGCAAACTGAAAATGAATGTTATAGAAATGCCTACTTCTGTGTTTATTGTGACTCCATATTAATTCAGGGCCTAAGGCTAGATGCCTGTATGTACAACGTGATTCCACATGGTGCCTATCAATAAGTATCATTACAAAATTACCTGGGGTTCATTCCACAAGTGCAGAGGTTTGAACTAACGTTATCAATCCATTAAAAAGAATACGCTATTTCATGAATTTAAATCAAAGTTAATTGTCATAGTTATTTTGTGTTAAAAACACCTTTCAATAGAAAATGAGCAAAGGCTACGCGAACAGACAGTTCACAGAAAAGGAACTGCAAATGACAGCCAAACACGGAAAGGACACATTTCAAACGTGACTCTTAAGAGAAATTGAAAATGAAACTACCAGGAGGTACCACTTTGACCTATCTGATTTTCAAAGATCCGAAAGATTAAAAGCACATTTTTCCTTCAACAGCTATTTATTTAGTCTATGTACCAGTCACTATTCTAAGTGCTGAAGATATAGCATTAAGGAGAAAACAAAAATGAATAAATAAATGAAAAACAAAACACTCCTGCCTTCATGGAGATTATGTTCTGAGGGGCAGCAAAAGAGACTCATGGTGGCAGTAAAATTTGGTACAACTTCTATGCAGACCCATTTGACAACATCTATCTAAATTACAAATACACAGACTCTTTAATCAAGCAATTTTGCTTTTAACACTTTTCCTATTCATATATTTATATAGCTGCAAAATGACATCTAAGCAGTTAATCATTGTGGCTTTGTGGCATAAGATTGGAGACCCCCTAAATTTACCATCAGTAGAGGACTGGTTAAATAAATTGTAGTACATTTATACAATGGAATTTGACAGATCTCTTTTAAAAAAACAAAAAAGCTCTCTAAAACCTAATACTCTAAAAGCTCTCCAAAATAAATAGTTAAATAAAAAAAAATCTGTGTGAAGAAAGAGAGATATTTCTTCGGGTATGCATAAGATATCTTTGGAAGGATACACAGGAAACTAGCAACACTGATCAACAGGAAAGACAAGCAAAAGGGATACATTGCCCTGGTGCTCTTTTATGGTTTTGAACCATACGACTCTATCATCTATTCGAAAGTTCAAATAAAATGTAGATTAAAATGGGCATTTCAAAACTTATCTTGAGGTGGGTAAGTTGAAAAAGAGTGCCATTAATTTAAAAATCTATGTATTCAGGCTGTTAAGAACTTACAAGGAAATGAAAGTTTTGCAGATATTCATAATTGGACTAACTTAAGTCCACAGTAGAAACGTAGAATGAGAACTGGCTTGGATTCTGAGCAGAGAATAAGAGAGTGAACAGTCACAGAGTAAAGATTCACAGACCAAGTTGTGTGCCCCATAAGAGCAATCTTAAAAAGCACATACCTAACTTAATTCTTCTCACTTTAAATTCATTGGCAAACTTTTCAAGTTCTCGGATTTCGGGAGAGTCCATGTCTATGGGCTCTTCAACCAATTTACTTTTCCGCCTGAGTTCCTGCTTGAAGTCAGCAGCTGCAGGGTCCTCTGCCAGGAGAGGCTGGTGCATGGGAGGAAAGCCATGCCCCAAGGTGTGGTCAGGAAACTTATAAAGACAAGGGGTTAAGCTACCTGTGAAGAAGCAAAGACAAGGAAAAGGCCATTTAATTGTCTCCCATTTCTATTACAAGAGGGGGTTTTGCCCGATAGAGCCCATTTTTCAGCTACAGCCAGTCTCGATTCTTAAAGGTTACCAGACATTCAGTCTTCTGAAGCAGAAGTCAGAGTAGCTTAGTATAAATGCGATTACTTATTTTTCACCTTCCCCAGAGCAGCAAAAACAAAGATAATGCCAAAGGAAACAAGCTGGGAATTGCAAATAATTAAAATAGAAATTAAAAAAATCTCTTAGAAGTGTAAGTTTTTCCTCTTAAAAGACACCTATTCTCGGGAATCTGAGGTTCAACTCTAACCAGAATGTATGTTTTGATCATTGAACAAATAATCTGTGATGTTTGTTACCATCAAGGCGCAGGGCTAAGTATTATGCTGGAAAGTTTTCTTATGATTGGGAAATTGATTTTACAATATTAAAAGGCCTCACTGTTTTATCAGTACATACTTAATTTCACTGGGAAATAATCACATCTTTTTTTAATTTAACAAAGGCAAGTAAAAGAAAATTATGAGAACATAAAACAGGTTAATATGGTTAAATAGATTCAAAGAATAGACATTAACAAAAGGTAACTTTAAAAGTTCTATTAAAAAGTCATCAAGAGGGGCTGGCCCTGTGGCCGAGTGGTTAAGCTCGCGTGCTCCGCTGCAGGCGGCCCAGTGTTTCGTTGGTTCGAATCCTGGGCGCGGACATGGCACTGCTCATCAGACCACGCTGAGGCAGCGTCCCACATGCCACAACTAGAAGGACCCACAACAAAGAATATACAACTATGTACTGGGGGGCTTTGGGGAGAAAAAGGGAAAAAGTAAAATCTTAAAAAAAATAAATAAATAAAATAAAAAAGTCATCAAGAAGATTTCTTAAAAACTATATGATATAATGGAATCTTTTCTGATAAGTTTTTTTAGAAGCAAAAATAAATGGCATAGAGGGCCAGCCCCGTGGTGTAGTGGTTAAGTTTGGCACGATCCACTTCGGCAGCCCAGGTTCACAGGTTCAGATCCTGGGTGTGCACCTACACCTCTCATCAGCCATGCTCTGATGGGGACCCATACACAAAATACAGGAAAACTGGCACAGATGTCAGCTCAGGGCCAATCTGTCTCAGCAAAAATAATTTAAAAATAAATGGCAAAGAAGTGTTCAATTCTCGATATGATACGTGAGCACTCACAGTTGATGAAGCATTGAGTTGATGAAGTGGGTTAAATGATAAATCACAAAAAAGCTAAAAGAGCTAATCTTTTTAAATTGCTTCCAGATTTCATTCTTCATTAGGAAAGAAGAGTATATCTCAGTTGGGGAGTGAGGTGAGAGGATGGTACATAATCCAGATTCCCCCACATTTTGTTTCTGTTTTCTTCATCAATACATTAAAATGTTTATTGATAGAGATTTCACTTCAACTGATATTAAATGACACATGTATAACCAAGACATTTTGATATAAATGAAATATTGATTAATTAATCATTTTTCTTATGAGTATAAATAAATATTTAAACTAAAAATAAATTACTACATATGCACAGTAATCATTCTTGGAAACTTGCTGAAAAAACATCAAGAGTTTATGCTACCTATAATTTCTCCATAAATACATTCACAAATTAAAGACATTAGTAATAATGTATTTTGCCAAAATGTATAAATCTTACATTATATATCAATATGTAATGAGCAAACAATAGCATAAGTCAGCAAATTGTTGGCTTCTATTATTTATATGAAAATATGTAATTATAAAGTGTACCCTTATCCGACAAACTATATATATTATTTTTGTGAAGCAAAATAAACATGCAAGTGAAAGATTAAACAAAATGACATAAAATAAATTTGGTAGGCTCACAGCCAAAAATATATTTAAAGAGAAACTATTCCTGTTAGAAAATTCATGCTACTTCTGCAAACCAAAATTACTCAGTTTTCCTTTGTAAAAGTCAGTCAATCATCCACTTTTTACTTTAGTGTGTGGTATATTGGTCAGACCACACAAAATACTAAAAGAGCAATTTTATAAATTTTCAACTTACTGCAAGCTCATTTTTGAAGATGTTTATTGCTTTTGGTGTTCATTTTTTAGCTTGCTATTAATTTTAGACTTCTGCTAGTTGAAATAAAAGAAAAGACTAATATATGTAAAAAGAAAACTGATTACGTTGATTTCAGTATCTGCTTAATGTTTAGCTCAAGACTTTTCTTTCACTTATGCTTTCAGAGTTGGTTCTTATAGATATGGTAAAATCACTTCTTTCATCATTCAAGAATATCAAACATCACTTAATGCACTTAATGATGAAATAGTCTGAGAAACAATAAAAACAGAGAAGAAAATCAGACTGCTATTTGATTTTGCACATTTACTATATTTTAAGAGACTTTAGACAACTCATTTAACCTCTGTCTAATTATTTTTATTTCACGTAAGTAATTCGTTGCATATCTTTCACGTGAGCATCCCGTGAGGGCCGAATCCGTTCGCGATCTTGACCATGATTTTCCACTTTTCTTGCCGATCATAACCAGGCACTGCTATGAATCCTCCATGTGATACTTTGCACCGTGTTCATTGTACATTTGTCATCTTCTGACCTTTATATAAACAAGTTCGGTAGCAAGGATATGTATTTTTTACCCATAGTTTAAAATTTAGGACATTTAAGTGAAAAGAAGTTACATAACTTTCCTCGGGTGCCACAATGAATTAACCATGTGGTGGAAACTAGAAGTGAAGTTCAACGAGCGCGGCGACAAACCACATCGAAACCACCGCCTCGTTCATTCCCAGGCGGGGTGTACTCAAGGAAACTGACTTTCCTTTAAAGGCTTTTCCTGCAGATTAAACACGTGTAGCTACATTAAACACATGCTTTCAGACAAAAATATCATTATTTATTGAAGTATTAGAAGTGCGCCATCCCTAGTTTTGGAAAATTTTAAAGGTAGTTTACACATTATAAATACTCTGGATAAATAAATATTTAGAAAATGAATTTGAACATAAGCCCATGAACAGCACACAGAATATGCCATGTTCAAAGGTTTGGCATCCAGAGACAAAAAGGAAAATACATGACATGTGATGCGTTTTCATTTTTCATTAAGTGCAAGTATCCACAGTTATTGGCGGGGACCGTTTCCCCGGAACTAACTTTAGACAGAAATGGACAAGGACAGTCACGGCCCAGACAGACAAGCTGCAGTTTCCATCACATGGTCCTGGATTCGGAGGTGAGTGGAGAGTGACTGGTATGGTTAATATGGGAAGATATTTTTTAAATCTTTCTAAAGCCCGGATTATTAAAAAAGGGGGAAAGAAGGGGCTGGCCCCGTGGCCGAGTGGTTAAGTCCGCGCGCTCCGCTGCAGGCGGCCCAGTGTTTCGTCGGTTCGAATCCTGGGCGCGGACATGGCACTGCTCATCAAACCACGCTGAGGCAGCGTCCCACATGCCACAACTAGAAGGACCCACAACGAAAAATATACAGTTATGTACTGGGGGGCTTTGGGGAGAAAAAGGAAAAAAATTAAATCTTTAAAAAAAAAAAGGGGGAATGAAGGGAGGAAGATAAAAGATGTGGTGAGTCATGTGCAGCAGAAGCCTCCTGAACAATTTCCAAAACATTGATAAACCAAAATTGTCTATAGCTTAGACAAGCGTATGCCTAAGGAGCTTGAAGTTTGGCACACTTTTTTTTACAACCCACAGTGTATTTTTGCATGGCAGAGTAATCCACCACAGCCTTTCTGAATTGCTCAGTATGTATCTCTGCATGGCAGAGCGGGAGAGGAACAGAGGGACATCTTTTACAGCAGGCAGTCGGGAGGCAGACGTCCAGCTTGCCTTGCTGGGCCCTGGCTCAGTCAACCACGGCGTGGGGCAAATTGCTCTTCCGCAGCACGTGGCTCTGCCAGATACTAACCGACAACATCTCTGAGGTTACTGGCTTGAAGCCTGAACGGAACAGGGAAGCAGAGGAACACAGTAAAGTCCACCGCCCTGCTGTAGATATGCAGAGGAACAAGCGTCGGAACATCTCCCTTTTCTTCTCCCTCGTGCACGACCATGTGAAGCTCATCATAGATTTGAATCCTGATCTTTTCTCCTCTGTGCACTGGTAAACCCTATCCATGTACAACAGGGGTCTTCTGCCTGGTGTGGTAAAGTAACTTTATTTGGAACACAGCCATGCCCATTTGTGTACGTATTGCCTGTGGCTGCTTTCCTGCGACCTTGACTGAGTGGAGTAGGTGAGACAGAGATTATAAAACTCAGGGAAAATATATCACGTTACTGCTGCTGAAAGGGCTTTCATGATCCAGAGGCAAAGGATCGTCAGAATTACTCCTTCCTTCAGAGTCGGCACAAGCAGAACAAGTTAGGGAAAAAGAATAAATAAAAGAGATGAAAAGAAAAGAAAGAAAAAGGAAGACAACTTAAGGATAAAGAGATGGACTCCAAAGCAGGCCTGTGCGTCAACTGTCAGCCTGGTTTCTGTAGCCGTTTGCGTTAGCCCAGCTGGAGAGGGTCCTCTCAGCCAGAATAGTCTTTTCTCTTACTGTCCACTTCTCATAAAAGAGAACATACCTTCATCTTCTTGGTTAACTTGCAAACATCAGCTATTTTGCTTTCTTCTTAAAATTAAGTTTTGAATAAGGAGTCTTCTACCACATCTTGGGTGGCCACCATACCATCTAACTTGCTGGGTTCAACAGTCATGGCCGTGGGCTCATTTGCTCAGGTTCCACAGGATGGTGGAAGGGTGGACAGCCCGTCGAGCTTGCTCCTAAGCCTCACCCCGCTTTAGACACTGGAGGACAGAAATAGTCTCAGATATCCAGGACTCAGAGTGTCGAGAGGTTTTTGTTATTGTTTTGTTTTGTTTGTGTTTATCTAGAAGAGATTATGAATGGCATTTCTAATTCCCTGTTTCCTGTTACCCATACTGCAGACTGTTGAATTATCTAAATTCTCATGAGTGAAGGGGCAGAAGGAATTTAGCTGCAGCTGTATAGTAAAGAGAAGATCAGGGAGGAAGCCAGGTTGAGCTGGGACAAATTTGCCACAACTTTATAGAGCTGTGGTACCCACCTCCACTTGGATATAAAGAGATTGAAACTCAGAGACATTAAGTGGCTTGAACCAAGTTCATAGTTAGTTCATGGTGTGGCTAATTCATTGCTCCCAATTAGTCCTTCTCTTTGGTATGCCCCCACCTGGACTATGAGGCACAGTGGGCTCATCTGAGGATTAAAGTCCCCCCACCAACCTTAACAAGATATTAGCTGGAGCCCTTCCTTTCCAGTGCGTTATTCAGTTAATGAAATGCTCAAACAGATGTAAGCATCAGAGTATGGGTAATAGAATAACCACATAAAATAAAGCAATGTCACATCCTTCGGAACATAGTTCTTTGTGTTGCTTCTCTTTTCTATGGCAGACGTGACAATGAGCTTGTCTTTGTTGATGCTGATAAGACACTTCCCTGGGTTGTGTGGAAGTGGCTGATTTGATGAATGCCTTGAGATGTCTCAGAAAATTCAAATGACATAACCAGGTTTCTCTTGTGTATTTTGTGCCTTTGCTCTCTTATTTCTTAATTCATGTGTTTTATAACTCAATTTGTCTACCTTCTCTGGGGATGAAAGCAGGAGAATTCACATTCTCTGAGATTTAATCTTCCATGATGCAAATGCTAATACTTAATATATGTCAAAATGGTGACATTCTAACAGAGTGTAAAGCATATCACATTTTAATGATATCCCTCTCAAAAATATTCAAATATAATCTCTATGCTTTCCATGGTGGGTTTTTCTTTCAGTGACAAAGTATATTCAATTTACTTTCTAAGACGACAGTTATCCCTCCAAATCTTAGGATAACCACTTTGCTCCTGATGTCGCTAACCCAGGCTTTGAGTAATTTTAAGGGGCTTTTCCGGGGACCTCTCCTTTTTAACTGCGATGAGGAAGAGGGTTTGCGGAGTGCTTATTGGAGGAAGCACAATCTGAGCTGCCTGTGGACTCCCCGGGGGAACCTGGGCCTGTTCACGGCCATCCTGGAAGCTGGAAGGATGTCAGAATTCTCAAGCCAGTTGCGAACTCACTAGGCCAGCAGCTGTGGGCCTTGATCTGGGGGGAGGGAGGTGGTGCCAAACCCATCTTAAAGACTGGTCTGTCGCTGATTCCGTCTTGGTGCTAACTTCTCTCCATGGCTGCCTCTTGCTGCATTGAGCAGCTGTCTAAAGCTGCACCCGGGCTCATGGGAGTCACTGTGAGCGAATAGCAAGGCTGCTCCTTCAAGAGAGAGCAGCACGCGGCCAAGTGCTTGTCATTCCTCTTCCACAGTCAAAATGGGGCAGCGCCACACAAAGGATTCTGCCTGCACCTCCAGTGGCCAAATGCACATCATTTTACTACTTTACAATGAAAGTAGTTCATCATCAGCAGGGGCTGTTCTCATAACTGTGAACGCCGATTATGAACTCTATGAATCATGAATGATCAGTTTTCAAAGGGGAGGGAAAAAATACAGCTTTCCTTATTTCTTAATTATTAAAAAGAGATGTCAGGACTTACAGGTGATCATTAAGAACATCAGTTTTCCTTTTACCATAAAGGTGAGGATATGAGCTTATTCAGACTACCGCTTGATAGAATGTAAGAGAAGCTAATTTACTCTGGAATATTTTATGTTAAAGTTTTATTTAGTCTTAAACTGAAAAAAATTTCAGAAATTAAAGTTTGGTGAGCTAAATTCTTTGTTCAATTTTATTCAAATTTATAGGCGTATGTCCATATTTGATTGTTTTATTACTTACTCTAGATGATGACAAAACACAAGAAAAGATTGCCCTAATATGTGATTCCTTTATGCAAAGTTTCGCTCCTGCATCACACAAGCATGCACACACACACACGTGCGCACACGCACACAGATGCACTCATGTTCTCACTGAGCCATAATATTTTTCTCCCTGCTACTGTAATAAATATAAAAGATCAAAGAATATCTAAAAAAGACAATCTGTTCAGAACAAAATTGTGTGCTTTATTAAACCATTAAAACCCTTTCTCTGGCCAGATCCTAAAATTAAGTCAGAAATTTTGTGATGAGTGGATCTCTTCAGCCGAATTTTCTTCTTAAGACGTGCTATTGATGCCTTCAGACACACATAAATGAATAAGAAGTTCATCCTGATTTCATGACGCTCTACTTATCCAAAGGAGAAACAGATGTAAGTTCACCTATTTCAATCTCATTTGAGACTCAGAGGCAGCTCACAGAGGGCTGCCACAGCCTCAAACAACCATTACTAAAGCCACTACAAACCACCCTTACCCTTCAATGACTTGCGAATCTTTATGGACCAAATGTCCAGAAGAAACGTTGGTTGAGGGACATGTTCTATAAATCCGTGCTGTCTGCTTTGGTAGCTACATGAGCGCTTAAAATGTGGCCAGTGCCACTGAGGAACTAAATTTTAAATTTGACCTTATTTTAGCTAATTTACATTTAAATTTAAACAGCTACATGAGGCTAGTGGCTACCTTATTATTACTGGAGGCAAGCCCAACAATAGCCTCAACAAGTAACCATCAGCAGTTTGACAGTAGTGAATTAGAATGAAAATCGTACAAGACAAAGCACAGGAGTTGAGAAGCGCAACGGCTGAGGAGTGTGTGGAATAGGAACAAGCGGGCGTAACCGCCATGGTCTCTGAAGGCATCACAGAGCAGAGAACGTTTCAATAAGTGGTGGTTTTACCAGCAATTTCCTAGGTTAGGAGATTAGAATTTCACAATACACTCTGGTCAAGATTTCATCAGAACCAGGAAATCCATCGAAGTGTTCCCAAATTCAATTTCATATGTAAAGACAACTTTTCTTACCTGCCATCACGCCATAGGTTGATGACTGGTTTCCATAGTGACAGGAAGGAACAGAGTAATGAAGTCCTGTTGCTGTGTTTCCCAACGTTGTCACCGAGAAATACGTGCACAAACATTTAGGAGTTTGGATCAAAGACAAAATAGACGGGACTGGTAAGAAAATGTATGAGGATTCAAGACACATTCGTTTCATTTCAAGAATACACATTTATGCAATTCTTCAAGTTATATGCCAATAACTTTTCTTATTTGGGGAAATTCTCTGATGAGTAAGTTGAAACTAGGGGTCAATTTGTCTCAAGTAATGAGATCGTAAATCATCAAAGTGAACTATAGCCTTCATTAATTATCCTGTGCTCTATGAACAGCTGACTGACCAGTTTGGACCTTGGCTAATCGAAAGTTTCTGAATTATTGTAGATTCCATCTAATATAAACATTGCAACAAACCTACTAAAGAATAGCCTCTTAAAATTCTTGTATAACATAGTATTATAGAGTGGTCTTTCTGGAAGAATGAACAGAGAAATCTACTATTGAACATGCTTTACTTTTACTTTCCTAACAAATTTCTTCCATCAAAGGAGAAATGGCAGAGCAACTAGCCTCCTATTCGATACAATCACAAAAGTTCCACTAAATTCAGAGGTTTATGAAAAACTTGTGACAATGTATTTATGTTGAGGTCGAAACTATGAGGTTGTAGGTTTTCTGAATGCATGCAATCAATTCAACAATTCTAATGATAAAGCTGGTCAAAAAATAAATTCACTCATTATTGAGAGGCTTATGGTCTATAAAGATTGAATCTATTATATTAATATAAGCTCATTCTTGAATAGTTCTATGCCTTGTGGAATCAATGTGTATTTTGAAAGTAAATTTGAATTACTAAGCTTTCATCAAGCTTTAAACATGACTCACCAAGTTGACTAAAAGCATAGACTATTGGTAATAAAATCACCAGCCAATGTTTCCTTATGTGTTTTATTTTCTCATTTTTCCTTCATGTCCTGAATATAATGGTGAATTTTTAGGAATATAACATACTTATATCTTCTTGAATAAAAAGAAAAGATATAAAGTGTAGAATTAGGATCCTCTGAAAATACTGAGATATAATCTAGTGAATAAAGATGAAGTCTCTCCAGAATTTTCTCTAACTATAGATCAATCTTTAATATTTAAAAATATCTGCATGAATTTTTATGGAACAACTGACATGTAGGATGAACTGGAGCTATTTTACATTAGAATGTGACACATAAAAATCTTACTGTGCATTCCAAAATTAAAAAAACTTGAAGCACATTTAATACCCAAGTGCTTTTCCCATTATAACCAGTATTTCTAATTCCTTAGGCAATTAGATGTATATGATTATAGTTTGATGGAAAAATTATAAAATCAATGCTATTATCATTTAAAACATATTTAGGTCATTTTAACTGATTATTAATTGTTTTACTTCCAAGGTTTAAATACTTTTTGTTTCTCTGATTTGGGGGAAGTTGTATAAAGGGTAGGTTGATTTACTAAATGCATTATTAATTTATTTTTAAATAAATAAGTAGGATTTTGAGCCTAAACTTGTTAAATCATAACCTCAATTCTAAATGTTATTTTCATTCTGGCCAAATACTATTCATGCACAGTAGATTAAACAAGTAATGTATTGTTCTCCTCATCCCCAATCTGTAGAGAGATCTTTTATTTAAAATATACAGTTAGCTAAGTGATAATTGTTTAAACATATTTATAGCACTTTTTTTGGTAAAAAAAAGTTTATATCTTCCAAAAAATATGTTTGAGGATATTTTCATTATTATCTTTTTAATTAAATTATAAGAATCTTTGGTAGATGAAAAAAAATCTTCCCATTAGTGATTTTACCAAAGTCCAGGTACAAAATCTCTAGATTCTTTAAAAGTCAGTTGAAGATTAATGTCAAATTTATATATATGTTTGGAAACTGCATAATAAAAGATAAAGCTCACATCCTCTAACTCAGAATATAAATGTATCAACTCAAATTTTCATTTTTAAACGTATAAGATTTAGTTCATATTTAAATTGTTTTTAAAACAAGTAGAAAGTGAATGGTATATTGTTATTTAGCAAAAGAAATTTACTCAATTCAAGACTTTGTCCATTTATAAATCTGCTTTAAAACGCTTTATTTGTTCCTGTATAGAGAAGGGATGCATTAGCAAACATACTTATTTGATTGATTGTGTTTAAGACAATATATTTAAATTCCCAAGTTTAATTTTTATTTAAGAAAGTTACATAAGAAAAAAATAAAACTTGGTTAGAGATTGAAGTCTCTTCAGAACTCAGTCTTGAGAAAATTTAACTCAGTGGGCTCTAAATGTTATGTACTGCTTCCAAAGTTGATTTTCGAGCTTTGAATTATGCTAAAAAGTTACGATTGTTAAAATTATTTAATTAATTTATTCTTTGAAATCCATTGTTGTTGGTATTGGGAATCATTTAGTTGTGTTTATATGGCTTTTTTAGACACGGTAGCAAATGTAATCTAAAAACCAAATAAATCTTTAAGATAAAGAAGTAAAGCCTTTTAAACCTTAAATTATTTTAGACTCTTTAGTTTTGTTCCTTATCTATAAAAATTTCCATTAAAATAGTTTTAAGATTAAAAAGAGCCAAAGTCACTGTTTGCTTATGTAGAAAACAGATCATTATAATAAAACCAACAGTAATTTAAATTACTACACTTACTAACACTTCCTGAAAAATTTCTTAGGCATTTTGGCTTTTCAAACATCCTTAATATTTAACTCAAAACATATTTAAAATGAAGGAGAAAATAAAAGGAGCAAAGAGATTCTAAACTAACAAGCTTCCAAGCCTCCATTCTGCAGTCTTGAGGCCCGGCCTCGCGCGGACCGCGAGCGGAGTCGGTACCTGTGGACATCACGTTGGTGGCGTGGTTGGAGACCGGTAGGCACTCGGCAGCGCTGTGATGCATGATCAGGGGCAGAGCTGCTGAAGACTCGGAATTCAGAGGCATAAAGGTATCAGCCGAAGTAAAAGGTTGGCAACTCATTCCCACAAGAGAGTAGAAAAATGAGGAGAACTGCTGCTCCCCAAATCAGGGCGTTATTCTATTATCGTCTCCAAGGGCCGTTTCAAATCTCACTCCTGCATACATACATCAGGGAGGCTCTGGGGCGCGGGCGGGCGCGTGCTGGCGCTTATACTGCAGGGAAATCCCTTTATACATGTTAATCATCTGTTCCCAGGGGTATTGCCGTATCAATCTGAACCTTCTTCCTCTCAACCAAACGTAATTCATGCCCAAGAGGGAAGCTGGTTCTTGTACAGACTGAGGGGAAAGGAGAAATCTGAAACTTTATGTGACAACTTCAGTAATTCAGGTGTTTTAGGAAGGAATGAAGAACTTCACTAGAGTGTCCCCCAAAGAAATCATGCTACGATGGATTGAAAAGTACTAGGTGTCTTTCTGCTACTAACACAATGACAAATTTATATATATGAGATTTCTTCCGGGAACTTCTCATTAAATCTGCAAAATAATGTCAAACAAGTACTCACTACATAATCTTAAGAAACTGTGAACTTCTACGTTGATTTCAGTTTACTCATCGAGAATGAACATTATTTAGTCAGCTCTCTCTAGACGTCGACACTGTTCTAGGCGCTTCCTCCGGTTGTGTCAGCAATCTCGGACCAGCCCTGTGAGTTCCGTGCCATCCTCACTAAACTCGACTGTGCCAGAGCCTCTGATCTTAGCCGTTCCACTCCAGAGCCTGCACTGAGTGTAAATCTTCCACCGAAATACATTGACAATATGTGAGGATGAAAAAGATAATATACTACCAGCAATTGATTCAAAGGTAAATATCAGTATCATGATTTTACAGTGATCAGGATTTCTAGACATAAGTGAACGAATGCGATACTGTCTTCAGAATGTGTCCTAGGGGTGACATAGCAAACAGAAATAGCCTGACAGCCACAGATAGTACTGACATAAGCAAGGGCCTGCTTCAGTAGATATTTTGAAATTTTATGTGATAGAATGTTTCAAGATAACTTGGAATCGGCGCTTTGTGATAAATTTAATGTTAAAAATATTGATGAGAATAAATTTTCAAAACCTTGAACACTTTCTTTGTAACCAGTTGATATTTTGTAGAAAAAGATTTTATAAGGTTGCTGAAATCATTAGATATTGCCTGAAAAGTATTTATTCTAAAAATGACTTATTTTCCATTCTGAATTCTACATCTTTGAAGATCTATTAGTCATCTCTAATGAGAGAAGAAGGTTATAGGTAATCGAAAGTATTTATTTCACTCTTGGAGAATTCTTGTAATTTTCAGACTTATATACAAAAAAGCGGCCTTTCAATGTGTTTATAAAGAGAATTTGCTAGGAAAATTAAATAAAAAGTTTACTGGCATTGAATTTCTTAAACATGAAGCTAAATGATATTTAGAGACAATAGCACTTAAAAATTGCCCCTAAGAATTTTGCTATTGTTACTTGGAGTCACTGGAATGTGCTGGTAAAGTGTATCAGCCAAGTCATAGATCGTGAGCAATGCTGTAAAACTTGCCTTGAACAACAGAAAACTTTCCCAGGAGTTTGCCATGCTATCTAAAACTGCAATCTTAGATATAATTTCCTTAATAATGGTTTTAAAATTTTTAAATATGTGTGTTGTGAAATGTAAACGAAAATTTTACAGTTAAAATTGTGTAAGGCCAGGATATATATGTCCCTGCTATATATAGTCTTCTCACTTAGTACTGTAAACTATTCATTTATCAGTTTTTAAAATCAGCTTTTTGTAAACAGTTTTAATTTTTCACAATATTGAATTATATAGCTCTATTACAATTTAACTATTTCTTTATTTTTGGGTGTTTGTATTGCTTTTTGCTTTTCATTTTTTATAAATAACAATGCAGTTAACCTTTTTGTCCAAAATGGTTTTTTTTTACACCATGCATTTTTACAATTTATCCACAGGATTGTTTTGAATATCTCCCCTTAGGATAGATTCTTAGAAGTGAGATTATTGAGTTTGTCTTATGAGATCTTTAAAATTCTTGAAAACATTCCCAAATAGTTTTAAAAAGCAAAAGGCCTTTTTTAATAGCAGTTATAGGTGAACAGAAAAATAGAGCAGAGAGTACTGAGAGTTCCCATGTACACCCTTCCGCCACCCTGCCACAGCCACGGTCCTCCCCGCTGTCACTGTCCACGACAGTGGCTCATTTGTTACAGTTGATGAGCCTACAATGATACATCATTATCACCCAAAGTCCACAGTTTATGAGTTCACCCTTGTACATTCTACAGGTTTTGACAAATGTATAACAACTTGTATACATCATTGTGTCATACAGAAGAGTTTCACTGTCCTAAAAATCCTCTGTGCTTTGCCTATTCATTCTTCCCTCCCTCCTAACTCCTGCGACCACTGCTCTTTTTACTGTCTCCATAGTTTTGCCTTTTCCAGAATGTCGTATAGTTGGAATCTTACTGTATGTAGCCTTTTCAGGTTGGCTCCTTTCACTTAGTAATATGTATTTAAGCTTCCTCTCTATCTCTTTATGGCTTGAGAGTTCCTTTCTTTTTAGCTCTGAATAATATTCCATTGTCTGGATGTACCACTGTGTATTAATTCATTCACCTACTGAAGGACATCTTCTTGTTTCCAAGTTTTGGCAATTATCAATAAGATTGCTATAAACACCCATGTGCAGGGTTTTGTGTAGACATAAGTTTTCAACTCCTTGGGGTAAACACCAAGGTGCATGATTGCTGGATCATATGGTGAGAGTATGTTTAGTTTTGTAAGAAACTGCCAAACTGTCTTCCAAATGGCTGTGCCATTTTGCATTCACGTCAGCATTGCACGAGACTTGTTCCACATTCCGACCGGCATTTGATGCTGTCAGCATTTTGGATTTTAGCCATTCTAGTATGTGTGCAGTGGTATCTCATTGTTGTTTTAATTTGTTATGTTGAGCATCTTGTCATATGCTTGTTTGCTATGTGTATGCCTTCTTTAGAGAGGTGTCTGTTCATATCATTTGCCCATTTTTAAATTGGGTTGTTAGTTTTCTTATGGTTGAGTTTTAACAGTACTTTGTTTATTTTGGATAACAATCCATTATCAGATATCTTTTGCAAATATTTTCTCCCAGTCTATGGCTTACCTTCCCAATTGCTTTTTCAAATAATTTGTTTCATTATGATTTGGTTTCAACTATAAGGAACAAGTTGAGAAAAAATAGTTGTTTATATTAGGAGACGGAGGGGTTTCTTGGAACTCATAGGATTGAAGGAAGTCAGGCCATAAGAAGCGACTAAATACGAGATGGAAAACCACATGCCCCCTCTCTCTGACTCCCCTATCTCCTTGTCTCTGTCTCTCTCACTTTCTCACTTTCACTCTCTACAACAGCCTAGGTTGATCCTCCATCTATGGCCGCCTCACAGATCTCCAGAGCAAGCCCTAAGCTTTTAGCCCGACAAAGAGGTTACCTTGCTGTTTCTCAGTCTACATTTATGAGAGAAACATTCTGATTGGCCATGGCTTTCGCTGTGTTCCAGAAGCACAGCACGGTTCCCCGTCTCCACACTTATGAATGGGGTGCTTTGCGCTGGAAGCGTTCAGGCATTTGTAGACAAGGAGGGAAAGATTGTTATCTGGGAAGACATGCTGAAGATGTGACTGATGCCATTCCACCATTTCACAATAACACCAGGAGAGTAAAACTGACATTTTTGTAGCATTCTCAGTGTTAGTACAGGTGTGCATCACTTAACAAAGGGGATACATTCTGAGAACCGTGTCGTTAGGTGATTTTGTCATTGTGCAAACATAGTGGAGCGTATTACACAAACCTAGATGGCATAGCCATGTGGGACCACCGTAGTATATGTGATTCGCTGTTGACAGAAACGTCGTCATGTGGCGCCTGACGGTAATAAGGCTTAAGTACTTAGCCTTTAATAGTCTGATACAACAATGGTATTGTATTAATTTTATTTGCATGTTTGATTGTTAATATGCTGACTATCTTTTCATATTTATATTAACTATTTGTATTTATTGTTTTGTTAAGATACTATATTTTTCCCTTTTATTTAATGTCTTTCAGTTTTATCAATTTGTGTGTGTTTTTAAATGATGTTAAGAATATTAACTTTCATAGTTTTCTTTGTTTTATGATTAAAATTTTTCTAGTTTCTTGTTTGTCTTTTAAATTTATATTGGACACTGACATACATAATCCATTTTATGCATGAGCTAAATATGTTGATCTTTTCCTCTGGCATTTCTTAATTGTTTTCAGTTTTAAAATTCTCTCTTATCCAGAGGTTTTGTTTTTGTTTCTGTTATTTTGCAGACTTAAAAAATTCCTCTTCACATTTTAAGCTGCCACGTGCATTGTGTTTCCTAAATTCATTTATAATTGCTTAGAAACTAATGACAATTGTAGCGCAATTTGAAAACTATCTGATAAATAAGAAGAAAAATCCACTTCAAGTCAAAGTAATAAGGGAAATGTGGCAGAAGTCTCGGTCAGGCGTACTTGTTAGTCTGGCCCACTCACTGGGACTCCTCTTTAAGTAATCAAAGGGTTACCTTCTTTTGACACGCTGAGTTTTGACAGAATGATCACATTTTGACAAAAATATTTAAACCCAGAAAAAAGTGCTATTAAGAAATAATACTCAAATCTATTTATCTCCAGATAAGAGAATTAAAATTTTTTTTCTTTTTTCACATTTATGTTTTAAAATTTTTCTACATTTTTGCTTAAGTGGAGAAGTATAGGAATAGTTTAGCATGTGGATAGATTATGGAACCAAATTGTGTGGGCGTTACCTCAAGCTTCACACCTTACTAGCTACATGATGGTTGGCAAATAACTTCCCTTACTGTGCCTCAGTTTATCTTTCCTTTGAAATGGAGATAATGTTAATCCTCATTTCATTCAGGACAGTGCCTGACATGTAATAAGTTCTCAATAAATGTTAACAATGACAATTCAAGTGAATTTGTGTAATAATAAATGTTGATGCTTAGTGAGTCCACATGCTTTATGGGTTTTATTTCATTCAATCCTTACATTAATCCAGTGATGTAGGCACCATTTCA